ACTGTCCCCAACCCGGCCACCAAGTGTTCACAAAAGGAGGAGAGTCAGAGCCAAGGCTGGGACTTAACCAGCAAGTGGACTTAGCTATGGACTCGAGGCACGACCCAAGCCCCTGGAAGAGGCTCATTCTCCTGCCCTTCACCCTGGGCATGACTGATCCCCAGTGCCGCAGCAGGGCATCACCATGGCTCTCCAGCCCCAGAGCAGCACCCCAGGGTGCTGGTTACAGGTTTAGGCACAAAGAGCACATGGAGCTGCTGCTGCATTAAGCCCAATGCAACCCATGAGGACATCATCCCATAGTTCGCATGGCTGGGGGCTTTTCCAGCCGCCTTTTCAGCTCCAGCGCAGTCTGCCATGGCAATGGTTTTAAGATACTATGAAAATGTACGGTTCTCGAAAGAGCCAAGAAAAGGTTGTGATCTGTACAGCTCCAGGAAGAAGTTCTAGCTCATGGATGTGCAAGTTGTCTTCTCAGACCGGTTTGGACAGGAGAGGGTTCTTGCAAAAACAATTTAAGTTTCAAAAAGTTCAGCTTGGGGTAGGAACCCTGAGAAAACCACCTTATTTCTGAGATATCTGGCCCTGCGGCCAGAGAGCAAGCCCTACCCCTTCTTCCCCACACCCTAAAGGAGCAACAGCATAGCCCAAAGAAACCTTTAAGGAAGTCGTCAAACCCTGTGATGAAAACAAATCTGGAAGAGCAGGTAAAAGGTAGTGCCGTAAACTGCAGCTTGAGAACATCGCGGCGGGTAAATTGCTTTTTAACAAGCAGACAAGTTCTATCAATAGCATCTACCGTATGTTTTTATAAAGTGCAGAAATATGTTTTTAAAAGGCCAGTAAATAAAGTTCCTATCGATTTGATCTCAAGCGTAATCTGTTTTTCTGTCTGCCACCAACAGTGGTAATAAAACAGAATCATGTAACACGGCGTTTCAGCTAATGTGACTATACATCACGGCAGGGGCTGCGTGCTCGCTGGCGATCTATCATTTTCTATTGGGATTGCTTAGCTGCAGAATTTATAAACTTGCCCCAAATTGATGCAATGTCCAATTTTCTTTTCCAATTTATTTTTGGTTGAGCAAAGCAATATTGAGGCAGGACAAGGAGGGCGCATTTCCCGTCTATCCAGATGTTCTCCACTCCGCTCCTGCTTCCTCCTTGGCCTGGGAAAGGGCCTGGCAGCAGCTCCTCTGCCAGGGTTTTTAGGAGGATGGCAGCAGACGCTTTAATGGCTGCATTTGGTGTTTGCTCCACGTCTTTGCAGCAGTACCCAAAGGCTGCAGAGCAAGTTATCTGATGCTCAGAGGGGTCTCCCTGGCAAGGACCGAGCATCCACAGCATCTCAGAGCTGCATCTCTCACTCGCCCAGACCTCTGCAACACCAGGACGGACCAGTTGGCTGCTCTGCTCCAGCACAGGGTTGTGGGACAGACGCTTCCACATGCCCAAGCCATGCACAGGACAGGTTTGTGTATCTGTGCCCAGCAGTTAAAGGGTTTCCAGGGTACCCAAACCATCAGTCACTGGCCTCCTGCGTCCGGGACACATCTCATTCCTTTGCCTGAGCACGCTGCTCGCAGAGAGAGCAGCCAGATGTAACAACTGCCTTAGTTGCACCAAAGAAGTCAAAGATGGGTCTTTTGGGAAGTAAAAAGCAATGTTTGCTAGAGCTGGCTGCCAGGCTGCAGTGCCCCAGTGTCTAAACTGGATATGCACCAGTACATAAAAACCCTATAAACACACAGAAGATGATGTATTAAAATCCCCCAGGCCGAGCAGTGGTAGATGCCCATCAAAGCTCAGCTTTGCAAGATGCCCCCCCACTTTAAGGACCTTCACCCACAAACACATTGACACTGCCTTCCCCAAGGAGCATCAAGACACATCAGGGCTGCGAGCAGAGACCTTCGGCAGAGCGAAATGCAGCCCCCACCAGACCTGTTACCCATTATCTGGAACAAGGATGGGAAGTGTCCCACACACCCCCCTCGGAAAACTGATAAATATTTCCGGAGATAAAAACAAACACTCCGCATTTGGCTTTTTTGGTGGTTGTTTTTCTTGAAGAGACAAAGTGTTCCACAGAAAGCAGACACTTCCTACACAAGTTTTCATACTCAAACCCCGAGTTTTTCTGCCACCGATTTTGACGGAAAAATCATAGCCAGGCCTGTACCCAGCCCGTTTCTCACCACTCCATCCACAAGATCACCGAGCCTCAACAGGGCCGTAGCACCCTGCCATGCTGAGAAACATCACATATAGATGGAGATAACTTTAGCAAAGTGAGGTTTCCCATTCTCACCTAGGGATTAAAAAAAATAATCAAGTTTCCTGACCTTAGAAATCCTGTTGTAAACCATAAAGAGCAACCCCATCACCTGTGCACGCCTCAGCCCTGGCACAGGATGAGGCAACTCTTGCTCCCACTCACTTTTGGGTTGTTTTTGGGGGAAAAGATTATCCCAAAGTTTCCTTACAGGTTCAGGGGTAAGAAAAATATATATTCCTATAGAGAAAGCCTGAAGTAATTCAGAGCCAGTTCTCTGCAACCGATTTAAGGCCATCCAGCCCCTTGCCCAAAATTAAACCCCTAGTTTGCATGCTGCAAAAGCTGGAAGGCTCCTGGCTGTGGGGAGCTGGGGATGTGTTTCTGGCTAAGGCCGGAGGAGAGAATAAATGCAAACCAAGGGAGGCAGCGGGGCCCGTGTCCTCAGATGCCGCCTCAGCGCAAGATGTGCTGAGTTGTCTTGGAAGGAAATGGTGCCAAATCTGCCAGCAGAGCCGAGCCATCAGCCAGCCCCGATGCCAGCCGGAGCCGCTGGCCCTTGTGCAATGGGCTCCCCGGGGACCTGCCCTCCACCCAGTGCCACAGCCGGCATCCCACCCCAAAATAAACATGCACAAATGACACACGCAGCCAGCTCCCAAGTCCAGCCTGGGCAGGTTCACTCACCTGCTTCTTGTTTTCAGGTTCACAAATGCAAAGCCTGCATATCCCCCCCCCCCCCCCCCCACCCCCC